AATTTGTAATTAGTTTTAGTGGGATTCTATGATTTACAGTTTTGACCTTAATCTTAAACAGTAGAATTTGAATCTGTTGACCACAATACCTTGCTGGGCACGTTTACCCAGTCACACATTTAGAACATCTTTCGATATTACTAGTATAAGACTGTGTGTGAATGTGGCTATTAATCTGGACTCTAAACAGTAAGGCTGTATTGGATTTGACAGAAAATAGTAAGAGAAATAGAAAGTTGGAGGAAAGTTTCTAAACAATTAAACAAATGTCATTAATAACTTTCCCTCAATACTCGTTTCTCCCTTATTTTCTATTTGTGGAACCAAACATAGCATGAAGTTGAACATCTCCCCGAGCCCGGAGGGTTAAAGAAATGATTTCCAAGATAAACTATTCAACTGAACCCCTAAGCCCCCTAAAATATGAAGCTAATTAAACTGATTAATAAAAAGAACCTAACCAGTTAAGATTTGCAGCCATTTGTTTGTAATTATGAACTCCATCCCTTCTTGATGCAAAATTTACACTTCACATCATTTTATTTCCCATCATTCAATCAACTTCTTGTCTTAGCGTTTATAAATTTGGGAAAATGCTCTCATTGGTCATTACCTTCCACATGCCTTCTATAAGACATTCTAGATAACTTCCTTATCACAATTTTAAAATTGCGAAACTAAATTTCAAGTAAGATTAGAACATATAAAAACTTATTATTAATTAGTCAATGTTCAAAATATCAGCACACACCATACCAAAAGGAAATCAAACTATTTAAATCGTACAATAGTTTTGGCCAGGCCATCCATTTGACCGATTTATTATCCGGTTCAGTTTTAAAAACCAATCACTGCACTGGTTTCCGGTAGAACGATCAAACCAAAAGAGTTCCGATGAAATAAAACTCTGAAGAGTGTGGGTTTTGAATAGGCCATAGAAAGTGTAGCCTTATTCAAGAAGGCAACAACTATGACTGGACTGAGAGATGATCAAGTATAGGATAGTCGACTAGAGTTTTAAATCCGAACTGGCCTGACTCAAGCTTTTTCTACAAATGATATTAGCTGTCTCCATAGTTGAATTTCTTAATTCAAACGAATATTAATGGCGATTGTGAACAAGTGGCAGGTGCTGAAATTCCTGCTTTCACTGGGAAACAATTACTAATCCCAAAAATACAAAGTGACGTTCCTTCAAGGGAATATGTCCTAGCTAGATGTGTTGTTGAAAGAATGATGAGTACCCCCATTTCTTTGTTTGTCAGATTCTCCAATGATAATTTTTGGTAGAGCAGAACAATGATAATCTTAGGCTTCTTAGCTGTTCATCCTTTTGCCTTCTCATTATAAGGTTCAGAAGAGCCAGAAATAATTGTTGCTCATGCCCAAATGACTTTTTCGGAACTTCTTTATTTATTTGTAGTACCCGTCTCTCTCTCTCTCCACATTCATCTCAGAGAAGTCTTTCATAAATTAAATAAAAAATCTTTTAGTCCTTTAATTTGACCCATGCTTCTTTTTTTTTTTTAATTAATATATTTTTCAATGACATGGTTTTTTTGAAGGCAATGACATGATTTTTGAAGACAATGCCTCGTGCACGCCTTTCTAACCTAGCTAATAATAAGTAATTTCTCTCTGAGTGTTTAAATAATATATACTAAATTACTAATTGTGGTGTCCCTATGAGCCTCGTGCCTTTATTTTTTTTAGTGAAAAATGAAAATTACAATTTGTTCAAACTGGAGATTCCTATCCTTCTTCGTGCTTTCCAATTGTTTGGTCGTTTTACTCAAATCTTTTTTTTTTTCGTTTTTTTTTGAAAATRTCGTTTTACTCAATCAACACGAAAAAGTCAAATTGTCAAGATAGTTTCGGTGTAACCTTAATAATTTATAATGTTGTGTCGTTTACTCGATCACTCCTGCACAAGGCAGTATTGTAGACCTACTACATAGTCTACCCTAATTTTTACTCGAAAGAAAAGATAATCCAAATGCAAATGAATTTATGAACCAAGGTTCAATTTATCGAAAGCACTAAGCGTATTGGAAAGGAAATTTTAAAAAACGTATCGTCTTGGATATGCATGTGTATTGGAGAAAAATTAAGATGTGCATAGATATGCTTTGAAATAATATAAATACTTTAATAAATCATAAAAATAGATTAATAACACTAAATATAAGACCTCAATGAGATGTATATACATTAAATTAAAATACTCTAATGGTTTTATGAAAAATATATTGTAATTAATTATAATTTATTAAAAATCCTATGCTTAACTATAATTTATAAAATAGGAAAAACTCAAATCTCCTATCCAACCATAAAACATGTATTAGCACAACTTCTAAATGAAAATATAATTAATAATTATTTATTATTTATAATTTATTTTCAAAAACAATAAAAAAACTTTAAAGATATAATACAATAAGCCCTATATGAAACTTGTCGTATCAAAATTTTAAACGTTAGTATGAACCAACTTTTCTCTTTCAAAGACCTCTCTTTCCATATTTTATTGGGTGGTCGCAAGGGAGTGATAAAACCACATCGCAGCAAAGTTAAATAAATGAATTAATTATATCCAAAGATAATCAAATCAAAATCTTATCCATTTGCTGCGAGGGACAAAAGAAGAGTCTTTGCATATCAATTGCCTTGACACCTAAAAATATAGATATTTTATTGTTTTAAACATGTTGCTGAATATGCATTTGATATCGAAGAACCACATCAGTGCTATGTAGACATTTTGACTTAATCTCATTTGGTGGGAATGACGTGGAACCGTTTGCATACACCTTTTATCTTAGGTTATGTGAAATTGATTTTTAATAAAAACAACATTTTGAAATATCATGCTTTCAAAGAGGCCTTTTTCACTTCTACTGTCCTATATATATAAATATGCTGTACATGGAATTACTTGAAAAACCTTACCACTTACCCAATTTCAAAGATTAGACTTCAACTGACCACCATACCAAATACATTTGAACTTCAAATTAAAATTGGATATTAGGCTCAATTTGAAATAATACAAATACAATATATATATATATATATATATATATATATATATAAGTTTTGAAGGTTTTGAACATTTATATTTGCATCCTTTGCAAACTGAGGTTGCATTTGGCATTCCTTATTTTAATGACTTATTTTTTTTTTCAATTAAAAACTTGTTGTTCAGAATGACATTTTAACAGTAAAAGAGATAAATCCTCAAAATAAGGAATTCCAGATGTAGCCTCAGCCTTGTTATATTTATAAACCTTGCTTTGAATCGTATATTTGTATTTGTATTCTTTTCAAACTAATGGAATACAAATACAAATATGTAAATGCCAAGAATAATTTTTTGAGAAAATGGTGTTGCATTGCATACCATTTTCTCACAAATTATTTGCCCTACTCATTCCCAAATCCGCCTCTGTATCCCTGAATCCAAACCCATCTCGTTCCAAACCGGTTAAACCCATCCCAATCCATCCTACCCGTTAAACCCCTTGACCAAATGTTTTCTATTAAAAAAAAAGTCTCTTAATGCTTATAGTGCAACTTTAAACCCGTATCAATTAATGGTAGTGTCAAATCTCTTAGCACTACTTTAAGCCACTAAGTCATCTCAGCTTTTGTGTTATTTAATGAAATAAAATAGATTTTATTAACTTTTGTGTTCATCAAAACAATCAATCCATATATATGATTAACAATTCCAAATAAAAATTAAAAGGAATAATATTTAAAATTAGCATTTTATAACTAAATGAAATAAACAATCTATCAAATTCAAATTTACATCAAATGATCATTTTAATCCCAATAAATTTATACAAATAAAATATTAATAATAGAATAATTATCTTAGTACTTAAAATTTATAAATGTATGCATAATATATAATATAATAGGTTCATATTTATGCACTCTAGGTATCGAGTATTAGATACCCTAAAGTTAAAACCCAAACCCGTCCCAAACCCTATAGGATTTTGATAAACAGGTTCTATTAGGGCCAGGACGAATCGAATATCCAAAAATTCCCACAAAATTGCGCCATCACTTGGTATCATTACTTTTGCCATCACTTGGTATCATTACTTTTGCAGCACATATGAGCTTTTTAATTCCATGTCAATATACACTTACTACCAACAGTACAGTAAAAGAAATGAAAAAACACCAAAGAGGCAGAGGCGATTTTGGCATACCTATGTTATGATATGTAAAAACGTTTTTTTTAGAAAAACACAACCAAACATCAAGCGTGTTTAGATTTCAGACGTGATGCTGATTTGGAAGCATTTTTAGATTCCAAAAAAACAGCTTAATCTCTAAATCTGAGTTTTCTTAGATAGTTTCAACTTTCAAATTTACTGAGCCTTATTTTTTTTTTCAAGAATTCCATCCATTGCATGCAAGTTGCAACACCTACGTATATCACGGTTTGTCAGGTTTGTTGGGTGTTGGGTCCCGCAGGTCCCAATCTCCAAAATCCAGCACCCCGCTTCCCATGACCTATCCTTGTTTGCTTGGGTTTACATCCCTCCCCCCTGTTAATAAAACATACTAATTATTTATTCCTTTTTCTATCAAAAAAATACTAATTAATTTCGCAACCACTCCCAATTTAAATGAAATAACAAACCCCGTCGAAACCCGAACTTAGATTACAATCCAAGATGGCATTTAATTTGAACCAATCAGAAATTAATACTCCCACCGGACTTGAGTATAAAGCTCCCTTCATCTGGATTGCTTTATTGCTTACTTTTTTCTTTCTCCTGCTCAATGCTAATTAATGATTGATTATTCTCTTTTAATTGCTTGCTTAAATCCCCTATCACTTCATTACCATTATACGCCACCCACCCACTCCATTTCACATTCTTACACTTGTAATTATATTATACACATTTTTAGTTTTGGATCACAGTATACATATTTATATATATAGTTTGCATTACCCGTTAACATTACAATCTCTCTCTCTCTCTGTCTGTCTCAAAACTTTCAACAATGCCTCGATTGGGAACGGAAACGGCTCTTCTCAGGCATGTATTCCGATCACAATGTGTTTTTTTAATACTGTGTATGGTGTGGTGCAGCCCCCCGGACGATCCCATCAAGTGTTCAGCTCAGACCAGTAATTGCACTATCACCAATTCCTATGGTGCTTTCCCCGACCGAAGCGTATGTCAAGCGGCGGAGACGGTGTACCCAACCTCGGAGAAAGAGCTGGTGGCCGTAGTGGCGAAGGCCACGATGAGCAAGAGAAAGATGAAGGTAGCAACTCGTTACTCTCACAGCATACCCAAACTGGTTTGTCCCGACGGTGAGGAGGGTTTGCTCATAACCACCAAATATCTCAACCATACGTTGGAGGTGGATGCGGCGAAGATGACGATGAAGGTGGAAAGTGGTGTGACCCTTCGGGAGTTGATTAACCAAGCAGCCAAGGCCGGGTTGGCTCTGCCTTATGCGCCTTACTGGTGGGGTTTGACGGTTGGTGGCCTTCTTGGCACCGGTGCGCATGGTAGCTCTTTATGGGGGAAAGGAAGTTCTGTTCATGACCACGTAATCGGACTTCGGATCGTCACTCCTGCCGGACCTGAGGATGGCTACGCAAAGGTCCGAGTTCTCAATAACAGCCACCCTGACATGGATGCCGCCAAGGTCTCGCTTGGAGTCCTTGGAGTTATTTCACAGGTAAATAGTAACTTATTATGCTAATTTAGTTCGTACACTAAAACAACAATTTCACAAAAAAAATGAAATTCAAGAAAAAAAATAGCATAAGATATACGGTACCCCACGCGGTTTCAGCGCACCAAACTGAGCGGGTCCTACCCTTAAAACGTGTAACTGGGAGCAATTTCCATCCTTACCGGTGAAGAAAGCAATCATGAATCCTCCAGTTCTCATTAGAGACTGGAGTGATCAGTGTCAGCAGATAGCTTTCAATTCCTTGCTGCTGGTCATACTTCGAAATTCAATGCAATTAATATGCTAGATGATGATGATTGTTAAATTCTTTCTGCTGTTTTCTTCAAGAAACAAAATAAAACCAATTAGTTTGGAAATAAATTGATTTTTAAAACAAAAATATAAAAATTCAGATTATATGTATATTTTTCTTTTCAAAATTAAAATAAAAACGTATTTTTAAATAGAATATGTTTTTATCTAGTTATTTAATAAGAAAAAACTATGACACTGGAAAACATGGTATTGGAAGGTATTTGACCAATCAAAGCGCCCCTGTGACTTTGATGAATGCCATCTGATTGGTCACCTTGTCTGTGAAATGGAAATTCCAAAAAAAAAATGAAATAACATTTATTTTATAGAAAACCCCTTAAAATTTATAAATCTACATTTTTTTACACTAGATGATTAATTACATGGGTCATAGCAATGTCTTCTGCCCTCCGTTGACCAACCCGCCTGTGACCCAGTCAAGATATCAATCCGGGTTAACCCAGTCATGATTAATTACATGGGTCATCAACCTGGGCAGTTGAGTCATTGATCCATTCTAGTCAACGGAGTTTTGAGTTGCAAATTAAATCTATGTTTTTTTTTCCCAAAATGTCTTTATTTGGCCTCAAATCTTAATTTTAAATTCTTTATTTATAAAAAAGATTAACACTAAAAAACATAAATTATACCTAAATAAAGCATACTCAGAATATAATTTATATATTCTGAATCTAATATATTTATATATAAATATATAATTATGTAATTCTATTTTACTACCAAAAAACTATATAAGATGTATAATATGAGATATCTAATATATATGTAAACATGATACACACGTGCAACTTGTTGGACCGTTGACCCACAACCCGGACGAAAAAACGGGTCAGTTTTTAGAACACTGGATCGTAATTCGTAGAAAATCACCTGCAAACACCTATTGGAAAAAGTAATCTGGATTCTGGCAAAAGTTGAAGGATTAAAAGAGTTGGACTCGGGATGAAATCTCTTTACTTGAAAAAAAAAAGTTGGAGCAGGGATCTCCTGAACACGTCTTAATGCACGACCGGGTGCACTTCCATTCAAATAATGACACATCAGTGATGCAGAGGAAAGCGAGCTGACTTGTCCAATCTGACTAACCGGCGTGCTTGGCTTTATTATTTTATTTCTTAGTTTTTTCAAATTTAAGAATAAAACTAAAAGTAAAACAAAACCTAACCCTCTTCTTCAAGGTCTCTTGAGACACACGATTCCCACACTCTTGCCACTTCACCTAATACATTTTTATTTGCTTTTTCCTTGTTTTTAGTTATTTCCTCACTTTCTTTCATTTTTTAAGCGGAGGAAGAATCCACCATTACTGGACTCGAACCAGCAAGGGGTGGTCCCCCACCCTCAACCTTCTCCCTCTCTCTCTCTCTTTCACTCATTGCACTTATTACAACACTCTTTCCTTTTCTGTTAATTGTTTCTTTCTGTGCACTCTTTTGTTCCTGATTTGTTCTATGGCGCCCAAAGTTTGGGGCGTCTGAAACAACTCTCAAGGCCAAGCACACTGTATATGGAGCTCGCACAAGTGAGTTGGCTTAGGTCATGCACCTAGACTAGACGTGCATTAAACGAATGTAAGAATCATAACACCAGATTTCATATTTTACTTTTTGACGACGTGTTTTTTTCCTTTTTGTCCACCGGCACGGACATATATAGCTCCACCATCTTAGTTTCGTGGAGTTCGGGTTGGGACGACCCAACAAGACATAGCTAGCCTCTTCCGGTGTATGGCTGCAATGGCTTGTTAGGACACCTTGTTAGCATCAGATCCGGGCTTCCTTTCGTGAAGGAGCGAAAGTTCGCAATAGAAGCATCGATCATTAATACTGATCTTTCTTTTATTTTGTTTTTTCTCCTGTCACTGTTAAGACGATAGATTTCTCCTACGTACTACGTGCTAAATAACATTTTGCTCTCTCTCTCTCTAGTCTGTCTTGTTCTTGTTTACACTGTCCGACTATCCTTTTCTTCTATAGTTTAAAACTACATGTGCATGTGGATGTGGGTGTAGATAACTTTCCAATTACAACCTATATTCAAACGGTCCATCACGAATTTGGTGAAGAACGACTCGGACTTGGCAGATGAAGCTGTTAGGTTTGGCAATCAACACGAGTTTGCAGACATGACATGGTATCCCAGTCAAGGTAAGGTGATCTACCGAATCGATGACAGGGTCTCCACCAATCTCTCTGGTAACGGACTGAACGATTTCATCGGCTTTCGCTCCACACTCTCTCTTTCTTTGGCACTCGTAAGATCTTCAGGTATTAATTTGTTTAAATTAATTAATTAAATTTGTTTGCATTTGCAGGTTGAAATTGTTGAAATTGACATGGGTTGTCTACACAAATTAAAATTAACACGTACATGCAGTATTTATATGAAGCTAGCTTATATAGCTTATACTATATTTCTACTTCTCTCTAGCTATATTTCTACTTTGAGGTTGAGGGCTTTAATATATTAATTAATTGGTGCCAAATGCCTAACAGAGGAGATACAAGAATCAACAAAGAATGCAGATGGCAAGTGTATCAGTTCGAAGATAACAACTTCCACATTGATGGGTGGTGGTTTCGGGCTAACAAATGACGGAGTGTCGTTTAAGGGGTATCCAGTGATCGGATATCACAACCGGCTGCAAGCATCGGGGAGCTGCCTTGATAGCCCACGGGATTCTCACATCACAGCTTGTCCATGGGATCCCAAAGTGAAGAGTCAATTCTTTCATCAAACAACCGTGAGCATTGGCTTGTCCAATGTAAAGAATTTCATACAAGACGTGCAAGAGCTAATCGCTCTAGAGCCCAAGGCCATGTGTGGATTGGAGCTGTACGATGGCATCTTAATGCGATATGTGAAGGCATCAAGCGCCTATCTGGGTAAACAAGAGGATGCAATTGACTTTGACATGACATATTATCGAAGCAAAAACCCATTGACTCCAAGGCTTTTCGAGGATATATACGAAGAAGTGGAGCAGATGGCATTGTTCAAGTATGGAGGATTGCCGCACTGGGGGAAGAATCGGAATGTAGCATTCGATGGTGCAATTAAAAAGTATCACAACTCCCGAGAATTCTTGAGGGTGAAAGAGGCGTATGATCCCTTGGGACTCTTCTCTAGTCAATGGACGGATCAAGTTCTTGGATTACAAACCGGGGTTACCATAATCAAGGAGGGTTGTGCCCTGGAAGGCTTGTGTATATGCTCTCAGGATATCCACTGCGCCCCAGATAAGGGCTACTTCTGTCGACCAGGCAGGGTGTATAAGGACGCACGGGTCTGCACACGTTTGACGTCTCACAACAACATGCCATTGCAGTTATAATTAATAATAAATAATGGGCATATATTTCGTACATTTATTAATAATAATAATAATAGTATGTTGTATGGACCACCAATTAAACTGTTGATTTGATACCAAGGCCTTCTAGTAATTCCCATGCTTTAGATGAATCAATAGTACATGGAATGCGTTTGAAAAAATACATTGTACATTTAGATATATATGGTATGACTGAGTACATACGCCCTCTCAATAGATCCATGGGTGACAGGATTTCAATTTAAATTAAGCTGCACTGCGCATGCATGATATATGATCTGTGGGTAGATTCATAATTCATATTACCTTTTGCTTGCATTTGACCTATTCTGCTTGAGTTACATCTGTGGGTAGATTCATAATTCATATTACCACAAGGCCCCATGATAACTTTCTGGGGTCTTGTACGTTGCGCTTCCACATTTGGCTAAAACAAATTAATAAGAGGGATTTGAAAAAGTTGGGGGTTAACCCTAGTATGAACTAATAGTTAGTTTGCCATTACTCATTATTAGATCCGTTTATGGGCCGGGTTTAAGCTTTGCTTTTATCAAATACAGTACAAAATCAGATTTGAAATCCGGCCCATGAACAGGTCTAACTGCCCGTTACTCATAAAAGAATGAATGGGTCAGAAATTGATTAATGTTGCCGCCCACGCCCACAAGCGATGACCCCACTCACCTCTTAGGTGCCCTTCCTTGTCGATGAACGTTCAAATAAGTCGAAATTCTTGGTTAAGGTACACGAGACTACTACAAGTTAAAAGGCTAGTGAGACTCACCGACGGAGAATTCGAGAATATGTTGTCAAGGGGCACAACTACAACTGCATTTGCTCTCATGGCGTGACATGACATCCATAATCTAATCCATTGGTGGTGCCCCATATACATATACAGAAAGAAAGACTAGCTATATGTATCTTTGTCCACCGGCCAACATGCCAGGGTGTGTACAGCTGAAGAACCCTTTTTAAGGAGTAACTTTTCTTTTATTTGTTGAATTTGACATAGCAGGTCAGGTCTATTATATATAATTATTATTGTTTAATTAATTTAGGTTTTCACTTTGATTTACTTTTTTTTACTACTCAGGGAAGAGAGCTTATTAATTAATTATTAGGAGCATTGATAACGTATCATTGCCCTGCTCCCTTGTAAATTTTTAACTGGTATCAAAGCTTAGAGCTTTTTCAACAACAAGAGCATCGATTATTTATTATTCTAATGAGCCAAATTAATCCTTACTTAACTTTTTTGGGTTACCAAAGGAAATTAAAGTAAAACTACTCCAAATTATACTTGCTTTCTTGCTTGGTGACTGATAATCACTAGAATTAATAATGAATGATCAAATTAGCATCAACCAAGCGGTCTCCAAGCAATTGATGTCCGAAAAACCTCAAAATTTGGGGATGAGTAGATCATTATTAATAAATTAAAGGAATTTGATTTATATTGATTTACCCCAGGCCAAGTCCTGGTGGCGGACCTGCAATACATGCCAATTGCAACCTAGTTACGCTGCCTTGTTTAACCGATCCTCTCTCTCTCTCTCTCTCTCATACACAGTCATGAATAGTGACTGATAATGCAATTTCATTTGCAATGGTGCAGAAGTTTGGCAATGCAAATGGAAAATAAAGCCCCCGAAGCAAAAGTGAATGCAATTTTGCAATTTTTTTTCATTAATAATTTGCACTCCATGCATTTGTGTTATTAAATACAAATGAAAGCCTTAGTACAAAAGTAAACAGCTAGTTTGAGAAAAGTCGGAATTCCCAATGTACCAAAAAGTTTTATTTGCAACATGCTGCATGGCCGGCCCTTACTTGTCACTTCTGACACTTGACACTGGGTGCCTGGGCGGGGATGTTCTGAGACATTCATCCGTATTGTCTCTAGAATTATTGAGTTCTGTAGCAAGAGATAACTCTTCAGAACTCAGACTTTTTTCCCTTTCTTTTCCTCATTCTTAATTATAATACCCCAGATCAATCCAATCAGTGATAAAAATTCCACATGAATGAAACGGTGAGACCATTGTCAGTGAATTTGATTATACCACCCACTCATCTTTTGGTTTTCTTACCAACAACAACCCATATGCTGGTTCTGGTGCTCGTCCAATAGACCAATACAATTTAGCAATATCAGGTGACTGTGCCATTAAGATTGGTACAACAGAGGCCTCCTCTAGTCTTTTCTTAACACCAACAGATTTTAAGGAAAGATAAAAGGGTTTCCATAAAGCCCTTTGAGTTCTGAGAAGAGACCTCCTGCTCACTTCTCACTTTCTCAGTCACTGTACAAAAACCAACAGTTTTTCTTTTCTTTTTTTCTTGTACACAAAGATCTCTCTCTTGTCCCTACTTCTCAATGTCAATCCCTGCCAGAGGGGGTCCTTGGTTGAGTGGGTTCATGCATCTTTCCTCCTTGCCATATCAATCACATAAACCAAACAAAGGACAAACCTAATCCAAAATTCATTTTCAGCCTTGTGACGTCTCAAAACAGTTGGTTTCTTTGGTAATTTTCAAGACAGATCAAAAGCAAACACGATTCATGATTTACAGACTATGTACTCATCTCCAATTTCATCAGAGAACCATAACTTAGAAATTAAACTTTGGATACTTACAAGCTTGAATTTGCTTTTTCTCTCTTCTTTCAATTCGTTGATATATAGTTTCGAATGAAGACCCATTTGAATTAATACGTAAATCGTTGTAACGATAAAAAAAAATCAAAAATCAGAAAATTATTTATCACACAAGGAACAAGGAGAATGCACAGACAGACGTAGAGAAAGAGAAGTGAAACAGTAAACCGGTTCAGCCCACAATGAGATTATTGGTTCCGATGGGGCTCTTCTGTTTCAGTAGAAGTCGAAGTTGAGCTTTCTGGCACTCTAGCTTCGAACCCAGATGCCTCCCTCTAGAGCCAATTGCGCGAATCACTTTCGGGAACTCCACAAACCCTTTGATCCCTCTCTTTATGTGGGGGTTTTCTGCTTCTGATGATGCTTTTCTCTGCTGATTTGCCGTGGAACGAACAAGATCGTTATATTCAATGCTATTCGAATTCCCAGGTATTCCCATGACCATGGTTGTGGACTCCTTAGCACTAGTAGTAGTAGTAGCAGTAGCAGCAGTGACAGTGGAAGTAATTGCCAAGGCCTTCTTCTTCTCCCGGTTCTTTGGTTCCACGTTGGTTGTTGGTGTCCCAATTTGAGACCCTTTCGAGAATTCCAACTCTAACAACTTTTCCTCGAAAAGAATCTTCGCTTCAGTTAGCTTCATCTGAACCCTTTCTTCTCGCAGCACCTCAGCCATCCTCAGCATCTTCCTCTCCTCCTCCATTTCTCGCTTCAATCGACGGATCTCTTCCTTATGCGATGCAATCTGCTCCACGAGTTCTTGGCAAACACGTTCCATGGCTTCTCTTCCTTTTCTTTCCTCGGAGAGCTCTTTGGCTAGTTTTTTGTTGTCGGATTCGACCTTCTTGCGAATCTTGCGTTCCAATTGAAGCTCTGCTCTCAATTCCGCAATCTGGGCCCGAACGATGTCGAGCTCAGTATCCATAACAGGTCTGAAGAATCTGAGATCCCAAAGTGAAGCGGCGATCTTACGAGCAGAGAGAGGGAGAAGGAGACGACGATGATGAGGATGATGATGTTGTTGATGTTGATGTTGGAGGTGGTGGTGATGCTGATATTGATGTTGCTGATCAGAATAATAAAATGGGTTTTCATAAAGCTTCCAGCTTGGGAAGGTGGTGGAATTTTGGTCTCTGAGATCTAGTGGGCTTTCTATCGTCGCCATCATCTCGTCCAGGCTTCTTCTTCACTTTCTCTCCTTACAATTTGATGCTTTTTTATTCTTCTCTGAGCTTTATCTCTCAAGAAAGCAAATGGGGTTGGCCCATCTCTCCAACCATTTGATTTTGCTTCGATAAATCGTAAAGGGGACGAGGGGTGGAATCACATGCACCTTAATCAACTCGCACCGTCATTCGTCGAGGTTCAATTCTGAAGTGTTTCGCTTCACTCATTCCATCTCTGACTCTGGGATTCGTCCACTCCATGCCTCCTCATTCTAATTTGTAAGCGTTGCTAATCATACGGGTTAAACATCGTCATTCGTGACTCGTGACTGAAAAAAATAAAATAACCTGCTATAAAAAAAAAAAAGACTAATAAAAAAACGATTTTTTATAGGATGTATCGCTTCCGTGTTCGTGACTTCGTGTTGGTAAAAAATTAAAAAAAAAAAAAAAAAAACGAATTGACATTTATTTTGCATTTTATCCCTTCTAAAAATAAGAATCCAAATCTAAACGATAGAATAAATGTCACTAGATAGATCCGGTCAATGAATTGTCGCTTTGTAAGGTGAGCTTGGTTCACTTTGTTGTAAAGACAGATGGGCTTGGTAGTTGGCACGCTGGAGAACGTTGTAACGCATAATGTGTGAACATGGGCTGAAATAATCGAATCAAAGCCTTTGATTTGTTCGCATGGCACCATGTTAAATTAGATTAGTGATTTCTTGGTGGGATTATCGCACTACATCCAATTACGAGTGTAACTTGGGTGGGCCTAGCCCGAATTCAAATCGACCCAACGTGAAATTTTATATGGGCTGGGCTTGAAATTTTTGTTCTCGAGTTGGGTTTGGGGTCTAAGAATTCGATTTTTTATTTTTTGGACTGGACCTAAGTCTAACCCTTAGGAAATCAAAACCTGGCCCGAGCTTAGTTCAATCATACACATTCATGCATATATATGTATATATGTAAATTTTTACATGCATACTTACATATTTGTATGTACATAAATTTGTATACATATTTATTTATATACATACATATTTACATATATACATACATATTTGTATAAATGCATACATACATGTATAATTTTAGAGCAGGTTCATTGACCAACCCGAGCCCAGCCCAAGCCCGAATGCATTAAATTACAATTTGGGTTGGGCTCAGGTTGGGAAGTTTGGGCTTCACCTCAAGCTCGGTCTGGGCTCGAGCCTTAAGCCCAAATTTTAGGGTTGGGTTGGATTGACCATAAATGCAATCCAACCCACCCGACTTGCACCCCTACATCTAAATTTTAACCCTAAACTT